CGGGGCTGGGCTGGCTTCAGGAGTGCGCCCGGAGCTCAGGTTGCGGTTGGTGTGTGGCAGGACCCGGTCTGCAGGGGGTCCGGGCGAAGTTCAGATGGTACCGACAGCGTGGCTGCGTCACGGTGCAGCCGAGGATCCCTGAAGGCCCTGCCCGTCCCTGGCGCTGGGTGGCAGTCACCCTTCCCTCCGGCTGCTCTCATCCGATCCAGAGGTGCTGCTGGCCACCTGCCTTTCATTGCACCCAGCAGTCCTTTTTGGGGACCTCTCGTTACGCTCCATCCCGCCTGCCCCACATGCCCTCTGTACGCTGTCCTCCTCGCCGCCTCAGCCTGTGAGCCCTCATCTCTGTGCCCTCTCCTCTGGAACACGCACTTTCTCGTTCAACCTTAACACCTGCTTGTGCCAGGGCTCCCGCTGGCTCTGTTCCCTCTCTTTCGGCAGCGCCCACATCACGGACCTTTTCTGAGCCTGTCTGCGTGTGCTCTGCCCGAGTTTAATCTGCCTCTCTCAACCCAGACTGGCTGCGCTCTACGGGCAGACCCAGCCCACGCACAGGTGATCTTCCCAAGCACAGCTTTACCGTATGGGTAACTTTAGTATACTTTAAAAGATGAAAACTTAAAAGTACTCTATTTTTTGTCATGGAAACTGCAAAAGAGGATGTACAGAGCAACCCTAACTGAGAACGCACTGGAGGAGAGGAGGAGGAGGAGGAGGAGGAGAGATGGGAAGGGGAGAAAAGATGGGATGGGATAGCCAGGGATCTGTAATAATCCTTACATATACAAAAAGAGAAATGAAGGGGATGGGCAAAAAAAAATATTTAAAGTCAGGAAGACAGATCCTTTTTCAGAGATGGAAACTGAGTATTTAAAACTCCTTGCAATAAAAGAGTGAATTACTTCACCTTACCTATATGAAACTGCCTTTGGGGCAGTCTCATCCTACTCGACACAGATGCGCAAAGGCGAGTCCCTGAGCGTAGGGAGGGGAACGCACTGCGGAGTATGGCAAGACGAATGCTTGTGCACACGCAGCATGAGGACGCTTCAGACAGCGTCCCTGCCCCTTGCCCTGCCAGGCTTTCACAGCGGGCAGTGAACCGTCTACTGCTAGGGTTTAGGTTTTAGCAATGCTAACGTGGGGCGGGGCCTTTGGGGTTACAGCAGGTGTGACTTCTACAAGGCAGCAGGGCAAAATGCTACAGTATTTAACCAAAGAGCAATTAAATATGCACTTCTGTTCATATGAAAGATTCTTTATAAGCAAGAGTACCTGCTTGTGCTCTCCCTGTGCCTGCTTTTGGAGTGCTGCATTGTGCAAAGCGGAGACACGCTTCCTTTTACCAGAATTTCCCTTTCGCTATTGTACGTTGTGGAGCCACAGGCAAGCGACTTTGCAGTTTTGTCTTACAAACATGGTACAGATGTTTATCACCGAGCACTTGATGGATGAATTCAAATGGGAGAAGCAGGAACTCAGAAGAATGGAGTCTTACTGATAAATATTTCACAACATTACAGACTGCAACATATATCTTCAGATCCCATTTGCCAGAATTGCTTACAGGTGATAGGTACATCAATTAGTGTAGTATTCCTGGCAACCTGAGAAACATAGATTGGAATTGATGGGCTATGTACTATTTTCCAGCTGTAGTGCAGCTCGCTGCTATTATTTGCTTGTAACAAACATCTGTTCCAAGATGAAAGCACCTACAAATGCCTCAGTGTCTCCAAAACTACAAGAGGTTAGTTTGTTAAATGTTTGATCTATGAAAACAAATACAGGCTGCATGCGAGACGGATCTGAGTATGGACTGTTTATTCTACCATAGCATTGCTAACTATTACTTGCTGCTGTGCACAAAAACTTCAAACCCAAGAAATTCTCAGATATATTTTCCTAGGTAAAATATGTCATATGAAGGTCAGTTTACTCAGAGGCTCGTACTTTTAGAAATAAAACTGATTTCAAAAGAAAGGAAGCATTTAAACGGTGTCATGGCAATATGGCTTATTCGGTTAATAACTAGCTGGTTTATTTTTAATTGCTCGTGTACCTCTTCAAACTCAGCCTAGGTCAGTCAGGAAGGCTGACAGGAAGAAGGGAAACAGCTACCAGCTGCTGGCAGCTGCACAGCCTGCGCAGGATGGACACGGTTCTCACAGCCGACAGATGGGGTCTCAGATCAGAGAAGACATGACCACAGGTGGCACAACTGGGTGCCCGTGACTGGCCTCCCCATCGCTCACAGCAGGGAGGCCGAGAGCGTGTTTCTGAACTACTCTCTTGCCCCTAAAGGTGGTCTCCCCAGGTCAGGGTTGAGGCACATTGGTGGGGCAATGTGGGGAAGTTTGCACTGCGGCTGCCCATGCTGTAGCTGCTCTATAAATAAATAGAGGACTTTAGTCTCCAGGGCTGTCAGTTTGGCACCTTCCGTGTGCACAAAAGACACGTTTTGGTTTTTTTATTTGTTTAGGAACCACCCAAAAAGTTATATGCAAAGCTTACTATGGTGAATCAAAATAAATCAAATTTATTGTATGAGAGCACCTAAAATCCCACAACTTCCACTCGCTCTCTCTTTCGTGTTTTCTACTTTTAATTGTGATAAGAATAAAAGTTATGGACCTCTTTCGGTGTTTCTTGATGACAACGGTTGCTGTTCCACCACAACTCCAGTGCTGCCACCAAGCATGCAAGAAGAAGGCCTATTGCTAAAATGCAGAAAACGCCTGCAAAACTGTGAAGCTTGAGTGCCTTCCCATCTGTCTGTGCATTGATATGGCTATTCAGGTCACAACGTCCCATCCGTGGCCACCATTTCTGTTTCAGAACATCCAAATCTCCGCTCTCTTGCAACTCTAAGATCCTGCAGAAATTTCAAAAGACAAGTATTATTTTCAATGATACTTTTTCCCAGTTTTTTTGTCTTTTCTGTATGTCTCATAACTCTCTAAATCTACCATCCCACAATTCAAAACTCCGTCCCACAACCACCACCGTGTAGTATTCTTCATCTGAAACTCCGTTATATCAGGATTTCTTTCTACTCGCAGCAGCAGGTAAACTCCACTGGGTAACGTTAGAAAAAGAAGAGTGTCAGAAATCCCACTGCAATGCAAGAAGCATTTCCGAGGGAAATCACCATGTTGCAGTTAGTCATGGCTGGTCTGGCTATATTCAGCTGCAACAGCTGGTCCCACTAGTGAAATGCTCAACCCACTCCACTGCTGCTCTCCCACAATAATTTCAAAATCGTGTGAGACTAAACATGCTACTATTTGTGCGCCACTTAATACAGATCTGTTTAAGCAGCAACCAACTCATTTACATCAGCAAATGTAGTTTATTCAAAAGGATTTTACTTCAGTGCTGTTACTTCATGCCTGAATTACTGTGTTAACAGTTGCTAATTAATCATTGTTTTGCCTCTTGTGAAGTGTCCATTCTCTCCATGAATGATTCATTTTGGATTTGGTTTGATAACTGTTTTAGCTGTTTACTAACAATCTTTTCTCTTGACGCAGCTTTGTCCCTGGTTATGCAGCTGGAGTTTTACCGCTTTCTGTAAAGAAGGAGCGAGACGAGGAAATTTTGCTTCAGCTCCCTGCCTGGAGCAGAGCACCTGCTCACCTTCTGCTAAGGCCACACATGCCTGCACAACTGCATGTCTTCATTCCCGTGTACATGTTCACATGAAAAAGATACTCCTAGCTGATAGCTCAGGGAGCGCTAAATGGCATAGTCTTATAGCCTCAAAGTCTTGGCAATCCCATGCAATACTGAGCAATTCTTGTTTTCCTGTACCATTGTGAGGCTTCGACCTGTGTCTCCATCCTAAAGGATAAACCAGGACGTTACTACTTGCTTACCGTAGGGAGCAACTCATTGCTTCATAGCCTGCAAAACGTAGCACGAATCAAAGATCTCTCTTCAGTCTCTCCCCTAGCTCATACAAAGCTCTGAGGGCATCAGTCCTTTTTCTGCCAGAGGCAGGGCTGCCTGGAGGGGTGAGGCCACACACCACCTCCAGTCCCCTCCTCCCTAAGCAGGTGCACATGGAGCAGAAGTAGCAGCTTTGTTGAAGCCTGAACTCGTAACCTCTCTGCTGTCATTTATTCACTGTCCTTTATTCAATAATTGCAAAATTAATGTGAACCACAAATGGGATGCCTTGCTGGTTGTAGGGAGGAATCCTGTAAAACGAGCTTTGTTTCAGCTTACCTCTGGGAGAAAAGATCTCTGTAGGGGCTTCCATGCTGGAGTGCTATCCCGTATCCTTTGCTGCTGATGCTGTTTCCAATGACTGTCACAGAGCATTCATCATCCGTCAGCGCAGCATATTCCACCACCGTCACATCCCACAGGAAAGCATAGTTTCCTTTCTTTGCCTGTAAGTACATCATGAACACAACAAAATCTAAACTAAACTACATTTCTAGGTACGACAAAAACCAAGCAAACAAGCCAACCCTGAGCTTGTCATTACTCCGTGGTGGTATTTCATTAGGTCACAGTTTGTCTGTAGACCTCCAGCATCTTAATACATTTCTAATGCTCTTCCCTCCCAGCAGGTACCTCATCTACATCAAACCTCGCTAAAATGTCTTCCATTTTCAATAGGAATACATAGGATAACATAGCCAACTGTAAGTGTAGGCAAGGCTTACATAACAGGTAATTAATAATAAAAGAAAGCTCTTGCCTTAGCCGATGAAATTTGATGTATGTTTTGTAGGAGACATGGATTAGCAGGAGCGTGACCGGTTCCATACATCCGTAACTAGACGGATACAGTATGAGCACTAAGTGGTGCTTCCTAGTCATCACAGTCACCAAAATGGTAACTTTACAGCTGTCCTCATACAAACATGTAAATAAACAAAGCCCCTTCCGAGAGCTATCTTAGCCCTGTAACAAAAGGCACGCTCTGAGCTTAAAGAGTTCCCTCTTTTTTTCACAGGTAAGAAAAGTCACCAGCATCTCCTCTTATCTCAGTTTTGGGACAAATGCTGTTTTATTTTAGCACACACCCATGCAGATGTCCTTAAATGTCAGCCTTAATTGGGATTGAAACCGATGCCTGCACGCAGTGCATACGATGAATGTAAATCACCTTACTTAACATAAGATGTAAGAAACATGTCTGGATAGGGATTCAGTAAAGAAAAAAGTCATCATTTTGTTTGGTTAAAGTAATCATTGCTTTCCTAATACATTTAAGTAGTATGTTTTTAAGTCTCTAGTGAACATACAGAGCACAACGGAACAGATGGGCTGGAACTTCTAATGCAAATAAATGAGTAGTCACAAATGTAGACTTCCAAGAATTTTTTTTTTTTTTTTTTTAAACTTTGGGTGATTTCAGATCTATCTTCAGGTCAGAACAAAGCAAGGCAGGGAGCTGAAGTCCTGCATATATTTCTTCATGAGAACTGATTCACCGAGCTCCCCTAGCAAATGGATGCAGCTCTGACATGGAATTAGCTCATCCTTCCGCATATTTTCCATTTTTGTGTAAGCTCAGTTTTGAATTCACCTGTAAGCCTATAAGACTCCCTTAGTTATTTTATTGTATTGGATTCCTCAGTTGAGTAATTAAGCTAATTTTACTTCACCATGCTTTGACATAAGCCATAGCTTTCTGAAGTCCCTGACAGTTGTTTAAACATGACAATAAATCAAATGGGTGAGTTATCCTCTAGTAGGTAGAACTAGGGAAACAAAGATGAAAAGTATGTTGTCTGGATTTTCTGTAAGCTTCTTGCCACAATCCACCTCTTTTCCCCCCTTCCCTTTTATCTGCATCAAGGCAATCAAAGATCCCCAAATTCATTTGCTTCCGAGTTAAACCAGGGTAAAAATGTTATATCCGTCCTCTTCAGTAAGATTTAAATGAGCCTGCACTGACCACTGTGAAAATAAATTTTTCTTAAGGGTATGCCACCACCATTGTGGGTTTGTCCTCACTTTCTCCTTTGCCACCTCCCTGGTCAGTTCAGAGTGACAGTAATTAATGCATATAGCCTCAGACAACTGTTGCTATACTGGTACAAAACACCATTAAAATTTAAACTACAGTATGGGCCTTACAGGAGTTATTCAAATAGGAGCCACAGGACTCTACTGTTAAAATCATACATCGATTTAGCTGACACAACTTACTAAACTAGCATGTTCATAAAAATCTCTCTCACTTAAACGTCACTGTATGAAACCAGACCAGAGCAAGACTTCCACATCTGCATTGTAATACTATCCCTGGCTGTCTACCTAAACTGGAAATGGTGGTGCAAAGAGGGAAAGAACAAACAAATCACCCTCGACTATATGCGACAGCCAGGAAAGGCTTCATAACCTATCAACGCAAGGATGCGTAAAAATTTAAGGATGGCAAGGGAGTGATTCCTCAAGGCATCTAGCCTGTATTCAGCCAGCAACCTACATTCTTGGAAGCCTAAAATGTGCTTTTCAAAGTTATTTTCTGAATAACTAATAACTAACTGGGTTGTTAGCGGCAAAACTCTGCATCTTGCCCTTTGCTCTTCCTGTGACGGGCTTTAACGATTCACACTTTATGCTTTCACATCTGCGATGGTGCTGATGGGCCTCCTACCTGGTTAGGGACAGCAGGCAACGGGCATCAGTCCCACTGGTGTTCCTGGCAGGGAAGGACCGTCAAAAGCCCTATTTTTTGCACATCTCGGGCAGGTTGTGTTCTATGGTAAATAGTACACAAGCTTTTGCTACCTACGATAGGAAGCTGTTAAAAATATGTACTTATGGGACCAAAGACAACGGCATCTGTTACTGTACACAGAATTTATTCAAAATCTACGTTATTAGAGAACAAAAACTTGCCTGATGGATGTACAGAAAGAGGAGACCCAGAAAAGATTTGGCCTAAATCACTGTGCTAAAACGTCTTGCATTTTTCTGGGGTTTTTTTGTATATTTGTTTGTTTTAAATAGCTGTATCTTTTAGTCGTTTCAGAATTGCTCTGTAAATCATCTTTTCAAATTTACACTTTACAAAAGAAGAACACTGGCAACATGTCATACATTCCTCATCTTTTTCTTAGTAATACTTGAGGAACAGAGTCTTCCTCAAATACTCGATTTCAATTATAAGGCAATGTCTAGAGAAAAATCACATTATTGATTCTACTTTTCAAGCCTCAGTTTTCTGTAATTTTGTATAGAAGAGCTTTGTACACTGACTTTCAACGTTAGACAGCAGATCTTTTGACAAGGTCTACTTCTCTTGCGTTTGCAATGTTGCTATCCTAAGTTATGTCCTACAACTGTAAGTGGTCAATAAACGAAGTCTACCAGGTCTCTGCATATCAATTTTATATTTTTTATGACATAAATCATTCTATCCAGTGCCATCACAGCTGTAGAGCATTACTTCTCTAACACCCTGGTCATTTTAGCATAAACAGGTATCTGAGTTTTAAACTCTTAGTTATGCATACTTCTCAACTTCAGAAATACTGGATATAAGACTGTTTCCGCTCTCTGATTGCCAAAACCAGAATCTCCAAAGATCCCTTTTTCCTAAGGGAAGATTTGTCTCTTCCAAAACTTCTTCCACTTGCATAATATTCTTCTCTGAAGAAAAGTTCACTGCATGGAAAGCTTCCTTATGACTAAATGTTTAGTTGCGGTCTAAATTCAGCATCCTTTACATCCCTGTAATGTCAGTTGTGACAGCTAAGCAGTATCATTTGTTCTATTTAAAGAAAAACTGACAAACTTTGAAAAATGTATATGCCAGACACACAACCAGACACATCCAGATGTGTGTTTGAGGTATGTTTACTTTTTATATATCTTCACTAGGCAAGCAGTAAAAGCCAAATAAAATCAAATTGACACTTACTTTTCAACCAAAAATCAAAGCAAAACTTTTTAAAAGTAGTTTAAACTTCTCATTTTTGTCACATGAAAGAACGCATGCGTGCACACGTGCAGACCCCTTAGCTTCCAGGCCAGAGGGGTGCTGGAGGTAGGAGGACTAAGGATTGCAGGAAACACCTGGCCCTGACCCACGGGATGTACGAGCAGTAAACGTACCAAGGCTCCCTAGTTGCATGTGACACAGATGTACCTACCCAGGCAGCCGAGTCCTGACCACAGTACAGCAGAGATCCATATCCTCAGGCTCCTGCATTCGCAGCTCAGCCATCTAAAGCCTGCAGTGTGTGTTTGTAGGGCCCAAAATAGAATGAAAATGCTCCAGTGATCATTGTCTCGTGATCGAGACATCATCGCAAAGATAATACGTACAGAGAGATGGTAAAAGGGAATGTGGCAAATACCAGCTGAGAATAGGTGAGATAGCTTGAATAAAGAATGGCCGCAATGAAACACAGAATAATAAGCTAAAATTTAGACTTTTAATTTGCTTTCATATTCTGCTCTTTTGCTAGGGCCTTATTGCGACTCTCAGCATGCAGGCATATTGCAGAACAAAACAAAAATAGCTCGGTTAAACTTTCAAAAACCTCTTTAACAGAAATCCAGCCAAAGCAGCACTCATTTGTTCCACCCAGGTGGAACTACTATGGTGGTTTACACCAAAGACACCGGATTTATCTTTGGTTGAAGAGGTTTAAGAAAACAGATTTAAGAAAAAAAGAACCCCCTAGGCAAAACTTATATTAAAAATATTTCTTCTTCACAATCATTAAAAATTAAAAGGCCAAGGAAGATTGCCTCCTAGATATAGGAAGGACCACAAAGAGAATAGTAATACTTCAGAAAAGCAGTAAGCAACCTCATAATGTCACTCTTCAATGTGGAGGGAGATGGAAGAATATTGTTCAAAGGATCCTGGTTTACTGATGATAAAACGATGGTTTTTCAAAGCAAGCATGGTAAGAAATAATAGTAGCTTGAACAAAGATGAATTTCAGATTAATCACTAATATGTCTGTGATTTTTCTGAAACTTACGAAGACAAAAGTACTAAAGACAAAAGTGCAAGAATAATGCACCATTCATCATTAATTTACTGCCAGAATGGAGTGTCACTGTAGCTGATCCCATTATATGGCTGGTACCACAGAAATATCAAAAAGTGACCTTTACTTTGGCATTAGTGGAATCGTTCAAAAACATGCTTGGATAACATTTCTTGTCTATAAAAAAGTGCTTTAAGAGAAGCAACACAGTTCTAATAAAAAGAAAACATGCCATTTAATCCTGTTCAAATGATTTAAAAATTAATATAATTAAAGAGCCTCTGAAGGATGTAATATGTTCAGGCTTTAAGGAATCATTTGCTTTCACTCCAAAGGCTGATGGGTCAAGAAATGGAGAAATTTATGAGGACCCATGAAAACATATGGATGAGCAATCACAGTTCACATTACAAAATTCATTTTGGAAAATAAATTATTGGAAAAAATAGTTTTAAAAAATCCTATTCATTGAACTTTTAAATTACTTTTACTCTCAAAATAAAAATGAACAGAGGTGACTGGTCAACAAGAATTGGTCTGGTTTAATGTTTAGTGTTCATTAAGGGGAGGAAACTTTTTGAAGGAAGCAAAAAAGGTAAGGAATAAACTCTTACTGTGCCATTGCCTAAATCAATGATATATTCACATTTTGTACTGTACTCGGTTTTGTGATTACTTCTGATCATCAAAAGTAATACAGAGGAAGAAAAGAAAGGATTCAGAGTAATTTTGACACCAAACTGACTGGGCAGGGGAACAGTCTCCACCAAAGCAAGACTTTTAAAAAATAAAATAACAGTTAAATTCTATGTGTGTATATATATAAAATATGTATATTTTATATGTATTTAAAAAATATATATATATGGGAATACATAGAGATTATGTTACTTCATTGGTTCAAAGCAAAAATGGCTGCCCACAATGAGAAAAGCCACAGGTTATTACATACATTATGGTAACTAATAATTACCCTGAAGAACTGATTGCCACCGGGTGTTATGCAAACAGTTTACCGAGATTTACAAATGGCTTGGAAATGTCTGAGATTCCAATGCCAATGTCCACCTGGGATAAGATGGCAGGAGCTACCCACTGCGTGCTTCGTGGGGATCCTGGCTGTCGCTTGACCCAGAAGGAAACTTTCCGTACAACAGTGTTAGTCAGTCCTCGTCTGTTACAGTACTGGAAAACTCAAGTGGCGAAAGAGCATTTTGTATGGACTGGTGATTTGCCTGGTAACCTCCTCTTACGCCGTGTAGAGACGTTTATGAATAGGAGGACATTTTCCATCTGCAACGACCACTTTCCGTTGCCTTGGGAGTACAACAAAAGCAACTTGCCCCGGAGGCAACATCCTTCTGTCGCTGACGTGACATCGCAGTGCATTAATGCCCTTTTCACGGCTCTGCCAGTGTTGCGAAAGCTGTGCCTTGACAGCGGGAGATGGTCACGGTGGCTACAGGGACTGTGCTGTGTCTGAAGAGAGACCTCTGCCATGGCAACCAAACCCCACAAAAGCTTTCAGGACTGTCTCCCGCTATTGTCCTTTTGGTTTTAGCCAGTCAAAGGGAGTAGGAAAATCTCTGGAAAATGGAGAGCGGTAAATGGAGTAGAGACAAACGTCTGAAATACCTGCCTGTACCGTAAATAAGCAGCACTCTCCCGTTTTGCACTGAACCGGCATTGCCCTGTTCGTAACTGCAGCTGAACTGTGATGTTGTCTGAAGAAAATGGAAAGGGGAAGGAGGGGAGAAAGCATAGTAGTCATTTTTGTTTTTGCATTGTGTCGGGCAAATCCTCATTCAGAAAAATGTGTTAGGGACCTTTTTATGCTCAAGAGATTTAGATTTTCCCATTTCCTATAAAAACACACTTTGAAGGCACGTTTACATCTCTTTCATGCAGCAGTACATGTTTCTGGATGGAAAGTCCCATTTCCTTTGCTGACATCAATTCCTTTAGAAAAACAGAATTTCTAGCCATAATACTTGACATGGAGAACTCGTCTGTTTATTCAAAGAGCTCAATGAGCTAGGAAGAGCGACATTTAAACTATAAACACAACAGTTTAGTTGACAATGTTATTAAATATTAAGCCCAATTTATGTAGGTGTCTAATCAAATAGCGGCCTTGGTCAGCTTTGGGGACTGAAGTAAATTTGGTTATTGTTGACGTTAATTGAATGAGCTGATCAGGTTATATAAAAATCACCCTACAATACTGAAATCAAACTTTACATGAAAAGTTATTATCACACAGATAGCATGGAGCTGCCAGCTCCATACAGACAATGTAATTGGTATTCTAAACAGCCTGCCAATCTACAGTTACATTTCTGGCTTAGGCAAATCTAGCTATCGTAAATGGCAGCATGCAGTAGGCTTACAGAATAAGAGTATTTACAATCTCACGGCTAAAGAGCATCTGCTGACATAAGAATGGTAAAAAAAGGGGAAAAAAAAGTAAAATACTGTGCATTTTTCTAAGGTAAACTCTTTTATTGTTGGTTTTAATGCTGGGGTACATAGAAAAGTACTTACTTAATGTCTCTATTTCTACCTCCTTTAAATGCTAACAAAGTCTCTCAAAATAGAGGCCTCATTTTCATAAAGTGCTGAGCAGATTTGAAAAAAAATCAACACACTGCAGACTTTGCTATTGCCAGAGCTCTACCTTGTACCAAGGAAGAAAGGCTCCCTGAGCCGAGTGCAGAGGGCTTTAGGAAAGCTCAGCTGGGAGACGGGAGAAAAGGCAGGGTGAACCAAAACTATTGACTAAATTCTCCTCTGCCGGGAAGAGGCAAGAGTGTTTGTACAAGGATTTTGGCCAAAAGTCACACAAACAGTTGGGAATCTTATGTTAAAGGTCTTTGATTTGGGAAATGGGATGGCCTGTGTTCCTGTGTTCAGCCCAGTTACGGCACTGTAAAAACCAGTAAATTTTGGATGCTTTCCCTCTGACTGTTCAGAAAAGGTTTCAAAGATTCAAATTAAAAAAAGAAACCCAAGCCCCAACCATTTTTTTATTTCCCGCTTCCAAAAGCGTAAAGAACTAGTAATATATTTATTCAGAATCAGTGCTTCACTGACAACAGAATACCTTTGATCGAACAATCACTACGTTAATAACAGCTGTTCACTTGTTTTGTGAAAAAAATCAATTGACAAATAAAGGGGACACTTTTCACTAAAGGACATGAAACTTTCACCATGTCTTCACCCCTTCTGCCATAACGTACTCCTGGACACGTGTGGTTTGATGTTATTTACTATCTGGTTTTGGGAAGCAGAGAAGGAGAGGCAGACTAAGAGTGAGAAGGTGTGGATTTGTTTATTTGCACGATGTGAACCAGAGCTGTTTATCACAGGACTCGGCACAAGGATGTAGGATCCCAAGCCATTATATATCAGCCCTTGAGTCCCACATCAATGCTCAGTTTCACAAAAAAATCATGTAGTCGTATCTGAGAGAAATAAAAGTTAGGTGAAAGCATGGTGACATATGAAGGAGTATATGCATTTTCTTTACATTTGGAATAAACAAAATCTTGCATTAAATTTCTGTTCTAAGAGAAATGAGTATACGTTCACTGAATCCCTTGATTCTTACTCATGTTTCCAGTAAGTTCAATCCACCAACTCAGAAAAAAACCCACTCAAATGAGCAAAGGACTGGATAATATAATGAAGGACATTCAAAATGGTATTATCGGAGCTCCCAAGAAACTTAGAAACCGTATGGCCAGATCCAAAGAAGGACTTACATACTGACCACTTAGGCAGAGCTAAGGTACTTAAATTCAAAACCATGACCCCAAAATATGATTCTTATCTGCCATCGAGTTACTAAAAGGAACTTTAGATAGGGAAGGGTTTTTTTTTTTTAATGATCATGTAATTGCTTTCCTGTGACTTAACATTATTAACTCCATGCAAATAACATTGATACAACACAAAAATTAAATTAAAACCCCTGTGATCCAGTCTTACCTTCCTGATGCCTTCAGAAGGGTTCGATACACAATTATCTGCCCCATTATTCTTACTGATAGTCCTCCACAGTTCAGCAAATGTGTTATCCTGCTCCAGAGGGTTTGTCCCTTTTGCTTTAAAGTATTCATACACTGCTGAATCCCTGACTGTACCGTAAGATATATCCATTTGTTTGGACAGATCCTGAAATGTTCTGAAATTCAAGCGATATTAAGATATTAGTATTACATAGTACATTACCAAGTTTTCATTCATTAAATGGTTTCTTTCTATGTCTGTCATTAGTCAGAAAGCACTTACCCTCAACCGAGTAACATTTGCGTCTCTCTTTCCTCATCATAAAACAAAACCAATGAGTAATTTAATTGTATTTAGATCATATGGATTGAACTATACCAGAGCTCTTTTTCACCCCAGTGAAGATTTTTTTTTGACAGATAACATTCATGTTAAATATTACAATGCCAAGTTCGCACAAGAATGTAGTGCAATAGAGACTTACTAGAACACAGGAAAAATTCAGATTGTAAATATAAACTTCCAGCCCCGTCAGCATCACCAGAAATACCTTGCAGAATTCAGTGGAATTAGTTTGCAGTTTCACCAATACTCCATCTGACTCCAAACCAATACAACTGTTTTAAACAAACAAATAAAAGTCTGGCTTCCAATTTCCACAAAGTCTTTCTCTCTCTTTTCGCAGACTCTGGTAAAACAGGCATTTTTCATTCACACACAGGCCTAACTTTCATTTACTCATCGTACCACTCTGGAAGTGTAAATGGGCCTCAAAGTGAGCGGCTGCGAATGCACCATTTATTTTCAAATTGTACAGAATGTAATTCACTCCTGTTTTACAGCCTTTTCTGCAGAGAAAGGTGTAAATCACTGCCTGCATCAACGAAAACCAGGCCAAGTTGCAAAACATTTAAGGTGGCACCACTGCCATCAGAAGCACCCTGGCTGTTTTCCACCTTCAGACGTCCATTCCCATTCCTGCGCCTCCTTCCCTCGTCCGCAGGTGTTGCTTCTGTGCAGCGCCACCGCTTTTTTCATCTGAGCATACACACACACGAACACGCATTCAACGTTCACCACCACACGCGGCAGCAGGCACCAAACTGGGTCTCACAAACAATGGTTTATTTTATGTTTTGTAAGTGTATAACTTCACATAGTAACAACGACATGCTTCTGATACGACCAACTGCCCAACGCTGTTTGAGATCAGTCAAGCTAAAGCAACCCTCCCTGCCTCACCCACCCCATTTCTTTTTCCCAAAAACAATCTTTCAGAAAAAAAACCCATCCTCAAAACATCTGAACGGCCCGCTCATGCCACCTCCCACCTGCCTCCCGCTCCTGGAGCCACAAAAGCAAAACATTTTGCCTTGCAGCTCTTGCCGAAGATTTCTTCACAGCGCTCCCGAGGAGCCTTCCCTTGGCCCACGAGCTGAAGCTGTTTTCCACAGCTGAAGACTTGCCATAGACAATATTTTTCTGCCACCCTCTTCCCTGTTTCACTGGGGGGATGCCACTGCTTACGCCTCACACCTGTAGTATTCCCTGCCACGTTACTTAAAGCAAAGCAATCTGGGCACGTACAGAACGCTACATAAAAATATGTAGAAAACTCTTCCGCCTTCTCCATCACGTCACCTCCAGGCCTCCCAGGTTCGGCTCCAAAAGGGCCCCTTCGCCTGGACGCGCCGTGTGGGAGCCTGCCAGCTCTGTCCCCAGAGCTGCGGCTCCGCAGGGGTGCCTCTCCCACCCCTGCCAGAACTCTGCAAAATCGTAAGCTGCTTCGAAGCTTCGAACAGTTTAAGTGGTTTAAGTTCTTAAATTGTGTTAAGGACTTTTTATCATTTTAAGCTGTTAAGCAGCTTTAAGTAAGACTGTGTGAACGGTTTTTCTCTATATACATTGCATACGTGTGTATTTGGGCTAACTCCGGGAGTCACATCAAAACCCAAACTTCCTGTTACTTCTTTTGCTCTGTATATGGCACTTTGGTGAAGTACAAGAATGAACAGCCTGGAGGTTGCTGGAAATTCAAAATTCTAATGAAAAATGACAAAATTCCTGTCAGTTTTCTTTCTCTCTTTGTTTAACAATCCTGAAAGTTATATTCTGGTCTCCTAAATGTTTTCTGTACGTTTCATTGAACAGGACCATTTTTCCTCCAGCCTTGATCTAAATGATTACATGCTACATTTAGTTCCTTCTTTGTTTTTTAAAATAAGTTTCTTCATATGCCATGGAATTGCTTACATCCTGGGGATGGATGATCTGGCTGTTAAAGGACACATCTCTCTCTATTCTATGCACAAATGACTAAGAAAGGTACTCAATACACACAGGAGGGTTTCTGTGGCAACTTTTTTCACACCAGGCTTGGCATATGGATTCCAGCATGCATAGGGGTGCATGTTTGGTAGAAGCACAGTAGCAGAAACATGGTTAGTAATGTTCTTTAACACAGCTTTCAGCTGACAACTTTACAAATGCCTACTGCTCGTGCTGCCATTCTGTTTGAAAGTCTGAACACAAGAGTTTGGATATTAAAAAAAAAAACAACCAAACCTGCAGTTTTAGTAATGTCAGTATTTTCTGGATCACTTCTACTGCCTCTACTGCTGTGGAGGCTTTTTGTCAGAACCATGCCTTTTGTTTTAGCTAAATTGTACTTTATTGACAATCAGCACTTTTGTTTTAGCTAAATTACGTTTTATTGACAATCAGTACTGTACAAAAGCACAGTACATCTTGCTTTTTGAGCAGCACAGTTTCTTCAGTTCTCTAAACGTCACAGTGCACAGTGAGAAGATTCGGGGTTTGAGTCAAGTGCTTTGCTGGCCCAATAAGCAGATCATCGGTACCGGTGGCAGGGAGGGAAGCGCGGCCTTTGCCTGGGCGTGGTGAGTAAGGCAACCACTGCCCCTTTAGCTGAGAGAATTTCCTTACAAGAGATGGTATGGAGTATGGCGTGTCCTAAGGATTGCATGTGCCTTTCTTGCAGTGCCCTGTGTGATGTACTATGAGAACAGCCACTGCCGCAGGAAATTCTCCGTACTGCACCACCGTTGGAAATGCCCTCTGAGAGGGACAGATGGTCGCCAAAGGCCACGGTGAGGGTCACAGTAGGTAACCAGGCTTGCGAGAGGCTCCTGTAGCATAAATTGAGAAGGATGGTGACTGTTTGAGTGAGAAAATAAACTTACGCCTTTACCAAATGCACCACTTAGCCAAAAACCTATCTCAGAAATTATTCTGACAGAGAATGGTCTAGACCACAGTTCTTAGTCGGTATAAAAAATGTCTCTGTACTGTATTTCTGCACTGAAAGCGGAGGCGATGCTCAGCATCTCCATGGCCAGCGAGGTGATCAAAAGATCTGGGCATGGCAGGTACGGTCACGTACGTGAAGGACACCGAATGGAGATTAGTATCTCCTGGCTTTTACAGAGTGAATTAAGATAATCACAAGTGCAAGTTTTAACCATTGTTATTTTAAATCCCTCAGATCTGCCATTGCTAGACAAAATCATTCCTTGCCACATTTCAGGTACTGGTTGTATCTTACAATTGTGTCATTCTCTAAAGGCAGCTGCTCTCATCGTTCTTAGACTTTATTTTTGCAACCAGCCATTAGCTGGACCCACCTTGTTTAGCCACTCAAATTCTTGGCTTCCTTTCCTATGGCAAAGATTTCATGCATTTAATATATAAAATTATTTGCAACAAAAATGCGTAGCATAACAAGACGCCCCATTAACCTTACCACCTCAATTATTGGATCTCACAACCCATTAAGGACTCTCTGTAAGTGTGATTAAAGATAAAGGTAGTAAAGCAGAAAAAGCCAATGTTCCTTGCTTACAGTCATAGGAGCCAAACTTCAGTTTGTAAATAAATACATCCACTCTGTGATTGCTATAATAGGCAAGTACATGTAAACCAGTTGATTTAAGTAAATGTATCTGTGGTCAATCTAAACAAAAATGGTGTCTTTTAAACTGTATTACCAGCTAAAATATTTAACGTGTGTAGTTATGCCTGCTAGATAAATGCAACAATTGATACACAATTTCCAGTGGAGTTGCAATTACTTCATGTGGAGTCAACTGAAAACTGGACTTTCTGCTTGTTTTATTTTTTAGAAACGTATTGACATAAACCATATGCCGCAGAATAAACATTCAGGCAATAGCTGTACTAACATTTGTAATTAGACCTCTAGAAATAACTGCCAGAATAACAATACTGGTAAAGTTACACTTTTTGGAGATGTTTTCTTACTAGTAAAAGATTCATGTAGCTGTAGATATCTAGACTAAAAATGTGCTGCCAGTATAGGTTTATTTTACTCTGGAACTGCTATAAACCCAAGACCTCCTGGATGAGTAACACGAACAAATCTTGTCTAAGTGACAGACTAAACCTGTCACTAGGTGCTTTGAAGTAACTGCTGATCAATTAACTCAACTGGAGTCGTCAGGATCATCAGATGTGATCAAAGTATTAAAAAAACCCCCAAAACCAGGCTCCTGTCATTTCTAAATTTAAAAAAATGGTATTTTCTTTCTTTTCATAGCAACTTTTTTTTTTAAAGAAGGTCTTTAAACGAACAAGGAAAAAAGGCAAAATATACTTGCTTATTGAGTTTTTCCTCATCCTTACCATTCATTTTTTTAAAAGTTTGTAGCAAGCTGCACATCTGGACTCCCGTGCGTAAAGCCTGTGACTGTAAACAAAGCCAATCAGCTGGCGCCGCGCTGTCACGCAGTGCTGGTCTTTTACACCACGGTAATAACCATAGCATTTTATCTTGACTTCAGCCCTAGAGAAACCATAACGGGAAAATCCTGACAGCTCCTTGATTTAGAGGTAGTTTCTCGTTAGCATTCACAACTGCCCGTGTTCTGACACTGTAAAACTGGCGATTTTTCCGGTCTGCTGTTACTTATGGGAAAATAATATTTCAACAATTTCTGAATCCACAGTATTATTTAAAAATTATGCAAGATTTTTCACGCTTAGTTCCTGTTCGTTTCTCTGCACGTACACCGTTAGGAATAATAAAGCTTAAGGTTAGACATAGAAGTAGTGATGAGCTCCCTACCCTCATTCTTCCGCGTTGTGAGTACACTTCAGAGTAACCTCCCCCTTCACAGCACTACGTAATCTTTCTCA